CAACCGAGCGAGTTCATTTTATTTTGCACCATGAATTACATATGAAAAAAATTTGTGCAAGGTGGGTGCCGCGCTTGCTTACACCTGAGCAAAAACGAATTCGAATGACAACATCAGCCGAGTGTTTGGAAATTTTTAAGAAAGATTCAACGGACTTCTTGCGTCGTTTTGTAACCATGGATGAAACTTGGATTCACCACTACACCCCAGAAACAAAACAGCAGTCCAAACAATGGACWGCACCTGGTGAACCAACCCCGAAAAAGGCAAAAACTGTCCCGTCCGCAGGAAAAGYCATGGCGTCAGTTTTTTGGGACGCAAAAGGAATTCTGTTAATAGATTATCTCGAAAAGGGAAAAACTATTACTGGAGACTACTATGCAGCCCTTTTGGACAAGTTAAAGACGGTCATTGGAGAGAAACGTCCCGGAATGGCAAAAAAGAAAGTGTTGTTCCACCACGACAATGCACCGGTGCATTCAAGTCGTGTTGCGAATCAAAAATTGTCCGATTTAAAGTTTCAAGTTCTTCCCCACCCACCTTATTCGCCGGATTTGGCTCCCTCCGATTATCATCTGTTCCCAAAACTTAAAACATTCTTGGCTGGGCAAAAATTTCAATCAAACGAAGAAGTTATAAAGTGCGTAAACGACTATTTTGAAGGGCGCGAAGAAAATCACTTCCGCGAAGGGATAAAGAAACTTGAGAAACGTTGGGGCAAGTGCGTTGAACTTCGAGGAGACTACGTCGAAAAATAAAGTCCTTTGCAAAATTCAAATCAATGTCTTTAATATCAAACCAAGTTATTCATCAAACAACCCTCGTAGTTTACTTGCTTCAGTTGGCAACTCTGGAACTATATGTAGTTTTTTTGATTCTGCATGATTATATAGAAAGAAAAATAAAAAACTGTCAATTGTAGCAATCAGTCTTGCCAAGTCAAAGAGTTATTTTTGATCACCCGGTATTTAGCAGAGTAATTTTTTTGTCATTCTTTTTTTTCAAATAAGTAAAATTCTCGTTTCTGAAATCGGATTTCAGGACTAATTTTTATTTATTGATACCTAATTTAATGACACAAACGTGTTGTAGTTCAAATAGATCAATTTCGTATATCTTATCAGTGCATTTGCATGCACTGAATTGAATTTTAGATACCCACAGGTATTACGTTAGCAAACACAAAAATGCGTAAAAACCCTGGCGAGTATCCAAGAAGTTTGATGCAAAAATGCTTTTTCAGTTTTGGTTAAAAATAGCTGAAAAATTTTTGTTCCCTATTTGTTTCTATTTCAGTCGCAATTATTAAATTTGGGCGAGACTAGACGCACCGTCTAGCATTTCAATTAAATTAAATCAAATCTTTTGTGTTTGGAATGTCATTCAAATGAATTATTCATACGACAAGAAATTAACAGTTAAATGTTGGAATTAAAATAATTGTGTATCCACGTGCTTCCACACTAATTTAAAATTGGCTCCGGCACCGAAATAATTCAATTTGTGTTATTTAGAAGGTTTCGTGAATCGCTACAAGTTGGCTTTGAGTGTAATAAAATACCCGGATGATGTCGTTAACGGCAAATTGTATCATTATAGTTTACGGAATGTTGCAAATGCAATAACTCAAAGATCATCACAATTATTGTTAAAGGTGCTTATTGATCAAGCGAGGCCTTGACCGATCCGAGACCATGAAAAAATTATCTGTTTATGCTATGGTGTAATTTTATGGGAAAAATTAACACACCGGATGTGTGAGAAATAAAGCAGATCAAGAGCACTAAATGCGCACTAACATATAGGCAAAAAAATCAAAAAATGACAGATCAAGGTTGGCGACGAGCACCCAGGCAAGCTGTATTGTGTCACAATTGTCTTGTTTTAAAAGTAAATAAAAAATGATCAATTTTCAAACTTCTTTTCCATCCTTGACGAGTTGCTTATATGAGTTGCTATAGAAATGCACTGTAACTATGGCAACAAATGTTAAAAAATGTAAAATTGTCATAGCAATAAGTCCAGTAGCGGGTTAATTAATTTTTTTATTTGCTATTTATAAATAAGAAAATCTTAGATGAGGCAACCTGTACAAAAATTCTTGTTTGTCTACTGTCATTGATCTGTTGTGCTAGTGATTAGTGATTCACCCAAACATTAATTCCATCAAAAGGTATGTATATACCGGGTGATCAAAAAAAAAACAAAATTTGGAATAAGTACATAAATTATTTATAGTTTTATTTTTAAATTTAAAACAACGTTTCATCCTTGTCTATGTATCAAATTTAGTAAATAAATTAACAAATATTTACTTTTGTACCGGATAATTCGTAATAGTGACAGTAAACACGTGTCGAAATCATTTTCACACCATAAAAACCAGGTGATCAAAAATAACTGTTTCAGTTGGCAATAAAATTAAGGAATTTTCTTATTCTGCTGTTTGTCACACTGCAAGTGGACACAAGATTGTAGGTTATGTATCCAAGTGTCAAATGATGATATGCCAAATCTTTGACATCTGAGAAACAAAATACTTTAAAAAAATATTTTTTAGTTTAATTTGACTAATTTAAATAAAAATGTAAAATTATCTTTTTTGGACCATTTTTTATTGAGAATTGCACTTGTTTCTAGGGATATAAATAAAATTATCCAAAAAATAGCAAAATTAGACCTCCAAATGTTTTAATTAGTAGCATTTTTTTTGTATTAACGTTTCAACTTTTGTCCAATTTTTATTTCTATGCATTTTTATTCCCCTTCTAGAGTTCTGCAAATTCCAATTTATTAAAAAATATACAAAATTGTAGGTTAGGTTTCTATTTAAAGTGTCAAATGATGAAATATCAAACTCGAAGTTGTATCATTTGAAAGTAAAATTCAAACTAACATTCTTAATCTCAATGTCCTCTAAATTATTACTAGTTGTAAAAAAAATGTTTTTGATAAAATACTTTATTTCTGTTCATTTATTTTAATTTTAGTTATTTATTATACAAGACGATAAACAATCTTTATCGTCGTGTATAATATTTCGTTTTATTTTGTACTCACCTACAGAATTTCTTGAATATAACCAGTGGATAAAAATGACTTTATTAAACTAGACGATAAAAGACCACTTTATCTACTGAAATTAGTTGATAAAATATTAACAGTAGATAAAAATTACTTTATTTCACTAGACGAAACAAGACTACTTTATCTAATAAAATTAGTCGATAAAAGCACTCTTTAACATTGAGTACAAAATAAAACTAAATTTTTAACGAGAAGGATGCATAATTATCTTTTTTTTAGTTCCAATGGATTTTATTAAACCCATGGAAAAATTACAAAATTAGACCCCAAATGTGATATTTTGTTTAATTTAGTTGCATTTTTTGTATTAAAGTTACAATTTTGATTATTATGCATTTTTTGTCTCCTAAATTATTACATACTTAATTCAAAAAAACCTTTTTTTGAAAAAAACATAATTTAATTGTTTTGCTTAATTAAAATTTAACAAAAAAATTCAAAACGTATTTTTTTGGCTTGTTTTAGGGAATTTAAATAAACAGATGCAGGTAACAGCTTTTTAATGTGTTATTTTCTTCAATTTAGCTTTATTTAAAAATTTTTTTTAGAATCTATCAAAAAAAGTAACAATCTTAAATTAATTAGTGATGAACTAATTTTGCTTAGTCACTAAAATAAATACCAAAATTTAAAAAAATTATGACTAGTCATTTTATGGGCTATAAAATCGTGTCAAATGTTTCAACAATTTCAAGAATTTGCAAAATTCTCATGTCATTTTCCAAGAAATTGCACCCCAAGTTTAATTCGTACAAATGGCAAAAATAAATATTTGAACTCTTATCATTAAACCTTGAATCTGCTAGTCAATTATTAAAACACACTACAATCGTAGTAGAATATTGCATCATCGCGGTCATTCATTCAGAATTAACTTTCCCGCCTCTGAAACTCAATTTCAATCGCGAAAATCGATAAAAATTGATTTTAAACCCACATGTGAATTTTTGCATGAACACAATGCGAGAGGAGGTGTAGAATTCAAATTAGTACATGACATGTGTTAAATTTCGTCAAAGAAAATAAAACGTAATGGTTTCACCCCAGAATATCGATTGTTTGCGAACGAAATAATCAATTTTTGTCCCACTTTTTGTGTTTACCGGACATATGGCGATAAAAATCCGGAAATAGCCGGGGGTGCATCGTCTGAGTCCGAAATAAAACGCATTAAAAATAATTTCGGTCGCCACGAGTCACTCCTGCCTAATTTTGGCTCGAATAACGTGCATGCCACGTGCGATTTAAGAAAGCTTCAAGCTTTTATTTCATGAAATGCTTCAGCTTCCGGCTGATGTAACACCGGAGCGGATTTCGGCGACCACGTGGCCGCTTTTCCGGGCGAAAATCCGGCGATTTTGTGTCGGTTTTGGGTTGTTTATGGGTTTTTTGGTGGAGGAAAGCTTCATACCATAGAATTATGTGAAAATGCACCACTGGAACGTGTTTCTGTCGAACACTGAACTTGATGAAGCGGCGAACTTTACTGGTCGAGGAATACCATGTTGTACGTTATATTGCGCGCGGAAGGTCACGCGCAAGCGCTGGGTTGGGTTTGCGCCCATTTTGGGTTGGGACTGGGGTATGGGGCTACAATTTGGACGGGTCCGGGAACTTACGATGATGCAATAGAGGAAAGAGTTGGAGAAAAGCGAGTTTTTGTGTAAAATTTGAAAAAAAAGTTGTTACGCTCTGCTGAAATTGTGATTAGATTTATTACTCAACGGAATTTTATCGTGTTACTGCAGAGCGGGGCGAAATTTCGTTTTTTTTAACGTTAATATTAAAAACAGTTTTCTTTACTTAAAAATTTTAATCAAAATAAGTAGAAAAAAATGGTAAAGTAATGCTTTTGTTGGTATTTTTTTTAATAACTAAAGTCTACACAAATGAAATCGTTAATGTTTCCCTCATTTTTGTGTTCCTTTTTACCTCGATTGTTTAAATTTTCTTTACTTTTTTGTTTTTTTTTCTGTCGTAGGATTACTTCTGTTTTTTTTTTCTTATTTATTATTATTATTGTTTTCTCTTGACTAACAGGGTTTGTTTGTTTGTGTGTTTTATAATGTTTGAAAATAAGATGCCAAAAATCACAAAATTTTCTTCTGTTAAAGTCAATTGATTTAAAATTTTAGATCAAATTCAAACTCAAACAATTTTTTAATAACTAAAATTTATAATAATTTAAATCTTAATTTGTTTTTAAATTTCTGTATTTCTTTTTGTCCCAATTATTGTTATTATCGGGCGTCAGAATAAAAAATTAATTAACAGTTATTGTTTAATGTAATTTTCTTAATTATTGACTTTTTCTGTTATTTATTCATTACTAATTGATAAATTAAAATATATCTAAATTTTTCTAAATAATGACGTGACATACAAAATGTTCCAGAAGTAATTTTCAAAAAAAACAATATTTTTTTCAATATCTACGTCTAATTAAAGTAAGTAAGTCTAAATAAATGGCAAAATTTTCAAAATAATTGTTTTTTTAAAAGACGTTATGTTTTAGTTTAAAAATATGCTCAAGAAGAGACAAAAATTACAAATTTCATTAAATGAAGAGAAATATCTCTCATAATAATAAGTCGAGTTTAAATTAAGTCAACAACACAACAACCTGTTTTTCATAAAAACGTAAAACAACATAATTCTTTAAACAAATGAAAAAATTTTTTGAATAGTTTTAGCACAATTTCGTAAAACAAACTGATTTTTTAACAAAAAACATCAATTTTTACACTTAAACATGTTCCAGAATTAAACGAAAAGAGTTTGACTTTTTAAATGGACACATTATACAAAGTGATTCATATAAGACCACAACTTTGACAAACTTTGAATACATTAAGCATGACAACTTGATTGAAAAACATTAATTACAACAATTTAACTGGACCCTAGGTTTTGGACATTCTTGTATACAGATTGACTGTTGTCAATCTACGAAGGATGTTCAAAAATATGATTTTTTAATATACAGGGTGTTTTGTAAATAGACCAAAAAAAGGTAAATGCCAAGTAAGATAAGATACCAAGAACAATAAAAAAATATTTAAAAAATTCTATCTGTCAAAACATTCTGACATTAATTTTTTGACATTAGACATTATCTTATGTCTGTTTAATGATACTGATGATTTTGTATATGTAAAGGTACAAAAACTTAGTCAAATAACCATAAACATAGTTACAATTCAGGATATAGCTTCTTTGTTTCCTCTTCTTACAGTCTGTGACAAAAAAACATGTAAAATTATTTTTAAATAGAGTCAAAGTGCAAAATTTAAATTCTCATAACTTTGAAATTTTTATAAATAGAATTTTTTTAACATTTTTTTCATGTTCCTGGTATCTTATTTTACTTGACATTTTCCGATTTTGGTCTATTTACAAAACATATATTACCTATGTTATGGATATTGTATTGAATATTGGTCAGGCTCGTAGTCTTAGGTGAATCACTCTGTGCACTTGTAAAAATAATTATCTTTGACCATCTTTATCGTATCTTTGTTGTAAAGTTTTGTAAACAATTGTATTTTTTTTTAATATTTGATTTCATTTGTTTCCTTTTTCCATTTTTACTATGTATTGTTTTCGTAAAATCATAAATTATGTTTTTACTGTTTTTTTTTGTCTTCAAAATTGCACACAGAATCTCAGAAAAGCGCATAAAAGTAAAAAAGTCAGGAAATAAATTAAATTTTTCAAAAATTTTGTGTATGTATGAATATTTAATTGAAGCAGAGGCACTGTCGGCGGCGTGGTGACGTTGTACTTCCATAAGTGTAAAAGTGAAATATCTATAAGTAAAAAAATAAGTCTAAAGGTGGCGAGCGCAAAAGAGCGCCAAATATAAAAGCATTGTCATGCTGTCGCTTTTTTGTGTTATTTTTTTTCGAAATCAAAAGTTTTAAATTTCTACTAAATCACGTTTTTGCGCCTCTGAAATTCTTATTAAAAAATCAATCAATATTTTAGAGTTAAATTAGAACCGATTTCTTAAAGTTTTTTTTTCCAACAACATTTCTTTAATCTTTTTCAAAATTTAGGTAGAAAAAAAAACTGATTTAGCAAATTTATAAAACAAAATTTTTAATAAAAAAATCACCTACCACAGTCGAAAATGTATTTACACAAAACAATACAAAAAAAAATACACAAACATGAAACACAAATAGACACACAACACCTATTTCTTCTTCTTTCCTTTCTTCCCCTTCCCTTTTCCTTTTCCTTTCTTATCCTTCTTCCCTTTCTTCCCTTTCTTATCCCCAGCCCCTTTGCAATCCGCCGGATCATACTGCGAATCCCTTGTCTCCTTCTTCGGAATCGGTTTCAACTCCGGCCCTCTCGGGGTACACAACTCCAACTCCAGATTAGCTTTCTTTTGAACTCCTTCACTCTTCTTCCCAATCCTCAACACAAACATTTCTTTATTGGGATCAGTGATTTCGGTAAACTTCGTACCATCAGGTTTCGTGCAAACCGGCGGATTTATGATAACATTGTTATTGGGGGAAGCACCGGTTCCAGACATTTTAAACGAAAAGGGTAGATTTTTTTCGCCTTGTTGCACTCCGGGACGAACATCAAAACATTGAGGAGGCCCTGCATTACTCTGACTTGACACTGTTTGTTTTTGTTTTTTAGCCCCCACGTTGCTTGGGGAACAACAACAACTACCCTCACTCCCCACCACTGAATCCACCTAAAAAAAACAAAAAAGAATTTTCAATTTCAATTTTAATTACTTTACTTGTTCTATCCTGTTTTTATCCTTGTGGACTCTGATTGTTAAGGCATTTCCTCCCATACTAGCCCCAATTTCTTGGTAATTCCCCGGGGGGTCACTTGCAGGCCCACTGGGACTCCCCCCAACTTCTGCTTTAAACTGAGGGGCTAACAGTGTCCCACATTCCTCGCAAGGAGTCAACATTTGTGAATTCATAGCTTCAGGAGGGCACGATATCATACAAGGGGGCTGTTGGGGGGCGGAGTATTGTTGTTGCATCATCATGTTACACTCGCTACATGGTAACATGGACTGACCCATGGGCGAAAACATGTCCGATTGAGGGGAAGTCGGCATTGCGTACATGCCCATATCCTGGGGGAACATACCATCGGGGAAACAGGGAGTCATGGGACAGTTTGGGTTGGGTTGTGGGTACATTTGGTTGATTTGGCCAAAACCCATGTCGGGTTGTTCGCAGGGGACGGTGGGACATTGCGAGTTCCATGGGGTGTTAAGAGGGTTTTGGAGGATTTCTTCAGGTTCGTTTTTTTTACTTGCTTTCTTGTAACGGTACAAGGATTGGCCCCCTTTGTCTTTAAAAAGGACGGATTTGTCTTCGAGATTCATCTAAGGAAATAACAATAGTTTAAAAAAAAAAGACAGGAGCTAAAAAAAAATGAGAAATTAAGAAAAATTAAATGAAGTAAGGAAAAAAATTGAAAATAAAGATAATCACACAAACTTAACAACGTTTAAAAAAGTCAAGAATTTTATAATTTTTTATACAAAAGGGTGTTTTTTTAAGAAGTTTTTAGTTTTTTAAAAAATATGTTTATGCTTGAAAAAAGCAAAAGACATGTACTTTCCGGTGATTTTTTGGTAAATTTTTGGTAAAATTTTGCAAAAATAGAGACCGTTTTGTTTAACATAAAATGGCATTAAAAAAAATTAGGATGCTTGATAAAATCAAAAATAATGGGATTTATAGTAATTTTTCGATGAATTTTTAGCAAAATATTGCAAAACAAGTAGAGATAAATGAGAGATAAAGATAAAGTAGAGAAAAAATTTAATTAAAAAATTATAATTACTAATAAAAAATTACGCAAAATCTTGTAAATAAAGTGATAATTTGAGTAGAAAATACAGGCCGTTTTTGCAGATACGCGTACTAAAATATGAAAAATTTTTAATTTTTGTCAAAAAATGCTATTTTTTTCAAAAAAGAACTTTTTAGCTAAAAAAACCTTATGTTTAAGAAGCTTGACAAAAAGCAAAAATAATGTGATTTCCGGTGATTTTTCGATACATTTTTGGCAAATAATTTTTAAATAAATGAAAAAAAATTAAAGAAAAAAATTGACAAATTTAACAGTGATTGAAAAAGTGATGAAAAATATAGATCGTTCGAGCAAAAAGTTATTTCAAAGTTTAAAAAAGTTAAAAATCTACGATTTTTGAGAAAAATAGTAGGTATATATTTACGTTTTTAGCTAAAAACGGGTTTAGGAAACCTGATAAAAAGCAAAAATAATGTTATTTCCTGTGATTTTTCGATGAATTTTTAACAAAATTTTGTAAAACAAGTAAGTTTAAAAAAAATATTTTTCAATTCAAAAAATGTACTTCAACCCGCTCCAAAAATTACAAAAATAATGATTCTTGAACAAATTTGTAAATTTTCTGTTAGTAAATATCATAAGTTTTGTCGTTTTTGATCCAAATAAATAATTCCCTAGGCATTTTATGCAAAATTTAAAAAGAGAGAAAGTTTTTCGTTCAAAAAAATGCTTAAACGATTATAAAAGCTACAAATAACACAATTTTTATAAGTAATTTTCTGAATTGTTATTTGAAAAAACTTTTATGATAATATTATTTTTTCAAAGAGAAATTTTTAGCTAAAAACTATGTTTAACAAGCTTAGAAAAAGCAAAAATAATGTGGTTTCCTGTGATTTTTGGCAAATTATTAAAAAAAAATGAAATGAAGTTGGAGAAAGAAAAAATTGAACAAAAAAAAGATACCATTAATAATACGAAATTAGGCAAATTTTACATTTAAGCAAAATCTCGTAAAAAACATACAGAAGTGATTTTTTAAATGAAAAATATAGCCCGTTCGAGCAAAAAGGTATTTCAAAGTTTAAAAAGGTTGAAAATCTATGATTTTTCACAAAAATGGTATCTTTTTACGTTTTTAGCTACAAACGGGTTTAGGAAAAAATAATGAAATTCCGGTGATTTTTCGATGAATTTTTTTACAAAATTTTGTAAAACAAGTAAGTTTTTAAAGAAGAAGATATTTTGAATTCAAAAAATTTAAATTAAAAAATCTAAATTTACAAAATAACGATCCTTGAACAAAATAGTAAATTTTCTGTTAGAAAATATAAAAAAAATTATCGTTTTTGACCCAAATAAATAATTTTCTAGCCATTTTATGCACAATTTAAAAAACAAGAGAAAGTTTTTCGGTGAAAAAGATGCTTAACCGATTATGGAAGCTAAAAATAACACAATTTTGACTTTTACAAGTAATTTTTTGAGTTGTTATTCGAAATGAACATTTATGAAAATAGTATTTAAACGAAAAAAAAAGTTTTTACCTAAAAAACATATTTAGGAGGCAAAAAAAAGCAAAAATAATGTGATTTTCCGTGATTTTTCGATAAATTTTTGACAAAATTATTTAAAAAAAAAATGAGAAAGTGGGAGAAACAAAAAATTCAATTAAAAAAAATAATAGGTAAGCAATAGTAAAAAATTAGGCAAATTTAACATCTCGTAAAAAAGTTACTTTAAGAGAAAAATATAGCCCGTTCTTACAAAAACGTACTTGAAAGTTTAAAAGAGTTAAAAATCTATGGTTTTTGACAAGTTTAGAAATCCTGATAAGCAAAAATAATGTAATTTCCTGTGATTTTTCGATAAATTGTCGACAAAATTTTGAAAAACAAGTAAAAAATGTACTTCAGCACGCTCTAAAACTACAAAAATAACAATCTTTGAACAAAAAAAGTCTTTTTACAACAATTTTCTGCAAAAAACGCTCGAAAATTGCCAACTTAAGAAAAAATTCACCTGAAACTGTGTCACTATCAATTTTCCGAAACACGACATCCTAATATAAATGCTAATTTTCCCAACTTTGCTCCCCGTCGAATCCATCAGCACGAAAGTATCCTTCATGGTCTTCGCCGAGGGCGTCTGATCCGCCTGCAACTCTACACTCTGCACCAACTCCACGAACAAATTCGCTATGGAAATCAGCGCACTCCCAATCGAAATCTTATCCGGCAGCCACCCTGGCTGCATCCTCTTAAACACCGTCACAGTGACATCAAACACCTCACTCGCCTTTTGCACCTGCTCGGGAGTGAGCGAAAATAAACACGATTTCCCGCTTTTCGTGTTGTCCTCCTTTCCGTATTTCCTCCCCGGTGAAAAGTCCGCCTCGCAGACGTCCAAGGCGTCGTTGTCCAAAAACTGAAACGAGACGCAATGCTCGCCGGGAGGGGTGTCGCAGTCGCATTTTCCTTCCATTTTCACGTCGTCGACGAGGAACTCCAAAAGGAAGAGGTTTTCCGTTGCGAGCTTTTCCATTTTTACCAATAATTTTGCAAGAATTTTGACATTTTACGCGCGAATTTTGGAAGGGAAATGTCAAAGGGGAAATAACAAAACGGGGTGCTAGGTGATTTTTTTTATTTGGAAAATTTCATAGGGGAACGGGTGTTGGGGGGCGGGTAGTGGCTGTAGTACCAGTTGCAAGCCTCGCTCCGGAAGGGTTGACCGATTCTGACGAGAACAGGAAAATTTCATTTTGAAATTAAGTTGGCAACAGTGAAATTTTGAGTTGGCAATATTGTCTACCAAATTCAAGCGTCACAATGTTCTAGTTCAATGATTATTCAATGTTGCCAACTTAATTTCAAAACCATAGGCCACTTTGACCACACATTTTAAGCATAATTTTGTGAAAAAATGAGCTATTAGCAAAAAAAGTAAATTTCTCGTTTAAAACCCTGATAAAAGCCAGAATAAATTTTTGATGGAGTGATTTTTTTTAGATTTTGATAGTAAAATCTCAAAAAATTGTTTATGCACTCGAAAAAGACAAAAATAACGTGAGCATATTTTTGGTCACTTTTAAAGTGACATATTGTTAAATAATTACTTTTTAGCAAAATAAAAAAGTTTCTAGCATAAAAATGAGATCAAAAATTTAACTAATTATTTTGTCTACTTTCCTTAAAAAAAATCAGGGAAAATAATGAAAGTTTGATAAAACGTAATTTTTTTCCAAAATAATGATTTTGTTGTTGGAAAATAACAAAAAACATGTCATTTTTTACTTAAATAGGTAATTTTTGAGCTATTATTTATGTGAAATTTCACAAAATAGATAATTTTTTGAATACTTTTAAGCAAAA